CCTTGTCTCTGTCTCAGTCTGTCTCACCTTGTCTCTGTCTCAGTCTGTCTCACCTTGTCTCTGTCTCACCTTGTCCCTGTCTCACCTGGTCTCTGTCTCACCCTGTCTCACCCTCTCTCTCTCTCTCTCTCACCCTCCTCCTGCTGCAGTTCCTGCTCTGACCAGCAGGGTGTCCTCTGTCCCCCCCGGCGGCAGCAGCTATGCGGAGCAGCAACAGAGAAGCTCCGGGTGTCACCTCCGAACATTAACGGAACAATAACGGAACAATAACGGAACCAAGTGTCCTCCTGTGTGAATAAATCGCTCCGGAGCTGCGGGGATGGTGTCGCCTCCTGAAGCCGGATCATAGAGCAGCCTGGGCTGGTTGGAGCGGCCGGGACTCCGTGGAGGATTTCACCCGGACACTCTCTACTCGTCGGACCGTCTTCGAGCAGGTTACCCCGGCTGAGGTGGTTGAGTTCGGGTGGTCTCGGTCCTTAATGCCCCGGAGGCCCGGAGGAGTTCAGACTACGGAGCCCCGGAGCAGGGCTCAGACACCGGGGAAGTAGAGCAGGTAGGTTGGCTGTGGTGGACGCTCCAGGCCGCGGTGTGTGGATGTGGATGTGCCGGGACGTGTCGGGGATTAACCCGCAGCAGCTGCTGCTGTGGAGCCGCTGCTTCTCCGACATTACGCTGTTTAGTGCTGGAACTAGCTGGAAGCTAACTGTTAGCCTCGGAGCATTCCATTGTCACAGCCCGATGAGCTAACGAGGCTAACGGCTCCCATTGTAGCAGCTGTGGAGGGCGACGTGTTGACACTATCACGGGGTGTTCCGAACACGACCGGGGGTAGAACGCTCAGTCCCGGTTCTGTTGCAGTGACCGGGTTCGGTGAATCATTTCAGGCGGTTTAGACGCAGCGGGCTGCTGTCGCCTTGTTAGCATGCTAACGCTAGCAGCGGTGCCACCCGCAGCAGCAGCCTCATTTCTCCGTAGAGCAGCCTGTTAGCATGTTAGCATATTAGCATGTTAGCATTAGCTTCTCCTCACTGCCAGAATCTCAAAATGTCTCCGGACACTTTCATTTTGTTTTTTAAACTCACCGACTGAACACCGGTCCGAGTGTGTCCCGGTCCATCGAACCACCTGTAGTTTCATGTTGTAGACAAACACTGTAGTTTCATGTTATAGTTTAATGTTATAGACTAACACTGTAGTTTCATGTTGTAGTTTAATGTTATAGACTAACACTGTAGTTTAATGTTGTAGTTTAATGTTATAGACAAACACTGTAGTTTAATGTTGTAGTTTAATGTTATAGAC